ATGCAGCAACCCTGACCCAGCCTTGTCATCGCCCTCGTTGGCAGTGATGACGTAGGTCTTGCCATCTACTTGGACAGCCTGGATGGCATCCGGCTGGCGCAGGGTCATCAGGCCAGCATACCTGAGCGTCTGAGCGTCGCGCGATGTCAAACGACATAGGCCGGGCGCGTGAGGGTGCCAGAAAATTTTGCCGAGTGGCGTGGCTTGGGTGCAGGCCTTATCTCCCTTGTTGATGTCGATGGGCACAGTGCCGTGGTCCTCCAAGGCTGCACGCATATGCATGCATCCTGCTAACCTGCCTATCTTGCTACAGCCCGGCGCCTTCATCCCAAGCCCAGAAATGGTGCTCAGCGTGGGGCTTCCGGAAGCTGGCACCTCATTTCAACCCGCGAATGTTGGCTTGGGGGCAAGATCTTTCAGACTTGAAAATGCAGGCGTTCAATGTTGAGCTGCAAGGGTCTTAGAGTCTACAGCAAGTGCGGTAGATAGCAACCAAACACGTCCGTAAGCTGGAGAAAAGCCTCAAACATGTCCAATTTGACCAGCCGCACGTAGAAAAACATGCTTTTTGACAATCTGCAAAAGCAGAATGATGTCAGGTTCCCTTTGAAGGCTGCGCACGGCTGATTGCAATTCATTGTTGCTTCTCATGTCGCAGATATGTTCTGCATGGGCTATTCTCAAAATTGTCGGCCCTTTTTACATTAAGTACAATACGGCACCTAACCCTAAGGGTCAGAGTACTTGATAATCATATACTTGTCCGAAATCTGTACTATAATTACTATTACCCAAATCTCAAGTACCTACTTATTGGGTACATGGACCCTCAGGGTAAGCCTCACCGCTGGAAATCTGATACCCACAAGTGTAGGCCCAGGCACGGCAATGACGGCGACAGCGTTGTTCTCCTATGCATGCTTTACTTGCTGGTTGTTAGTTGTTCAAGCGGAACGACGAAATCAAACAGAAAATAAAGCGAACGTCGAAACCACTAACTTATTGTGGATACTATAAAGGCTTCTATTGGGATTCAGGTCTCTACTGTATATTCAGTACTAGCAACCCTAAACCCAACCGTAACTTCCATTTTCCACCTCTCCAATTCCGTACTACCAACTGAAAACCCTCATCCCGAAAACCCTGACACCTTAAACCCAAGAGCATTAACCCCAAAATCCTAAAGGCCTAAATCCCCTCCCGCCATTTTCTACGAACAACCTGTGTGTCAAGGGATTTTTCAATTCCCTGGGACCACAGCTGGCCCACTTTAAGTTTGAAACTCGAAGCCGACTCTAGCAGTTGAAGCATCTACACGATTTAGGAAGGGGTAATAGGGTTTAGGGTATAAGGGTTCAGAGTCCAAGTACCTAACAATAAGGTACATGCATTTTGGGTAGTCGTGATCCCGGTACAGGTTTTGGGGAAGTACATGGTTGCTGGGTACTTGGAGCCTTCCGGTTCTATTGGGCTCAGAGATTCGGACTTAGGTTATAGGTTGGGTACTGCCCCCACCCAGTAACTGTCTATATTAGGGGTCCTATGAAGGGCTAGATATAACCAGATGATAAAAAAATATTGTCCAACTGTTACTGAGTGGGGGCAGTACCCAAGTTATAGGGCTGGCTGTTTATGTTTTAGCGCTTTATTTGGCTTTACCCCTGAGGTACCCAATTCCATCACAGCCCTACATATACCAGATGTGACCAACCTCTGAATAGTTGACATGTCAATATGGAAGCTCGGCGAATTTGGGACCTCGTCTTCCTTCTACACACTGTCATCACTACAGAACACTAAAATCACGATACCAACTGCAACACGCAAGGTCTCGAGAAACCTCCGCATATTCCTAGCACTCATCCCTCAACCCTAGAGCTTGCGTTTTCAACCTCGCACCCTGACCATAAGGGTCCAAGTACCCAAGTAATCGCACACATGATGTTTGGGTCCCGAAGCCCTATCATTTGGGTACTTGGACCTTTACTCTGAAGAACCCCGGAGTTAGGTCATATATTACTTAATTTTCCTTAGTTATACAAAACAACACCATAAGAGCCCCATTGTAACACTTCAGACCTAGTGTCCGTAACCCCTTAGTAACCTCAGGGTCACACAAACTAGGCCCCCTAAGCCATAAATCCTGAACCCCAAACCTCTAAATCTAAAGGGATCCACAATACAACAAGCCTGTAGGTTCACAAAGAGGGTGGTGTCATCCGCAGACCAGGAGAGATACTCGGGCTCGAGGTTCCTATTTAGGTTTACAAAAATGCTGGACACCAAAAGTATGTAAAGTATTGGGTAATGGGTACCACAGGGGACTGTTGTAGGTATGTTAAGGCCCTATTCATTCCCTATTTAGGTTCAACTGGGTAAAATAAAGGCCTTTTGGGCTGCTTTAGAGGTTGTGGGACCTAAGTTTACCCAATCTGGGCGTTCATCTGGTACCCAAAGGGTCTTTGGAGGCTTGGTCGGGGTTTAGGCCTTAGGACTGGCATGATGGAGAATCAAATGGAAAAGGAAGTGGATACTGAAATGGAAACTGGGATTATATTGTGACTGTGGGAACCTCTTCCTGGACCCTTGGGGGATGTAGATTTGAATTACTAACCCTATAAACGTCCAGGTACCCAATAATCATATACTTTCCAAAACTGTACTATAATTACTATGTTCCCCAAATCCCAATTACCTCATTATTGGGTACATGTACCCTTAGGGTTTAGGGGTTCCATGTTGAGGATGTAGCTCCAGGCTATGAAGCTCAGAAACCTTAAGGGTTTAGGGTTGAAAGGCTTCAGGGTCTAAGGTTCACAATGTTTACGGTTTAGGGTTTGGAGTTTGGGGTTCATGGTCTAGGGCTTTGGGATTTAGGATCTAGGGTTTGGAGTTTGGGGTTCATGGTCTAGGGCTTAGGGATTTAGGGATTTACGGTTTGGAGGGGTTCTTCTACAGGAGCTATAAGCATTCAAAAGCTCCTCACGCACCTGTAAATAATCAGTAACCCCCCTTACAAGCGCTATCAAGACAAAGGCGCTCCATGTTGCTGCAAAAGGGTTTCCTAAAAATAGGGGTACCTTTTTTGGGGGTCCCCATAATAAGGGCAAAAATATTGTGGGGTCTAGATTGGGGTCGCCCTATTTATGGAGATTACCATATAGTGTATACTTGGGCACCAAAGTAGCTATACCGGAAGCCCTGTGGGCCTTAAGTCTATACTATATACCTACCCTAAACCCTAAACCCCAAAATCGATACCTACATGAAGCCTTTGAGTTCCAACACCTTTTGATGTCTTGAAAGGTCTACTTGGAGGCTCCGGGAGCTTAAACAAGGTCTTCAAAGGAATCTTGTAAGATTGGAACAGACCCAAAACGGTAGTTTCCCTAAATGGGGGACCCCCAACATGGACCCCAATATAAGGCAGTCCTTATTATGGGGATCCCCAAAAAGGTACGCCTAATTTTTACAACAAAAAAACTCCCGTTTGGGTCGCTGCAGGACTTGTTATACCCGATAGCTTTAGCCAGGATGGTTGATTGATGCTTATAACCTGTCCCGATTCTCCAATGCATTTGCAGAAGGGTTGAGGTGGTAGGTACTTTATCGGCCGTGTTCTGCACGCCACCGGAACGGCGTAAACTGCACACCCAAACGGACAACATCTGAAGCACTTGCGCCAGAACAGCAAACATAACAGAGAGTATCTGCAGGCGAGTGTCATGGCCGAAGTGTAAGCTGCCCGGGCAGCGCTGAAGTTCAGACTATCCTTCCAATTGGAGTGGTCGTCGAAATACCTGGCATTGCTCTGCTACGGAATTTGATGGTGCATGAGAATCCATTCGAGCAGGTCGCAACTGACATATCGAGTTGGTGAAAACAGGGTTGATGCTTGGCCAAGCGCAGGGGTCCAGGATTAGCCTCCTTTATCCTCTTTCCATAACATGGTAGAGCTGTTTGCTGGTCCCTGGCCGTATACATCAGCTTATAACATCAGCCCAAGGAGCTCCATGGCACCCTTGGGCAAGGGCAGGTGCCTCAGCTTAAAGCAAACGCTCCGACTTCATTGCAGCCGCTTAAGACAGGTGAGCCGAGCTGCACTCCCATGTCCATCAGCTGGCTGTCGTTGTAGGCATTGAGGCTCACGGTTTGCGTCGTGGCACTGCTGGGGTTGGTCCAGTCGGAGGCGGTGATGATCATCACGGTGCCCTCCGGGTCCACGAGCGAGTCGCTGATGATCTCGCCCTCGCCCTCATTGGCCACAGCCAGCTTCGTGCAGTCGCTGTTGGGGAGGACCATGTCCGGCAAGGGGCCCGTAGTCAGCGTGCCGTGGCTCACGGGCTTGGTCGGGGATGATCGCTGCACCGTTGACAGCACATGCACCTGACCGTTACTCACGGTGTCTGCAGCGCCCGCCCCGACGAACATCACCCCCTGCGAGGAGCAGATCTCGATGTCTGTCAGCTTGGCGCCAGCAAAGTCGTAGGCCAAATTAGACAGCACCTCTGCAAATCAGCGTGACAACAGCACGCACAAAGCCAGCACACAGCCTCATGGAGCTGGCACACCTGGCTACCACCCTGACATCCCAAGTTCAGGTGCGCCTGCGGGTTGCTGACGTTCTGCCAGTCGATAACATTCAGCACGCCCTGCTCGGACACCGCATAGGCATACCTAATGTCAGAAGCAAGTAGCATGTAACTAACACGGCACTTGCAGGGAAAGGTATGCTGCAGCACCAGGTCCCTACGCATTACTCCAAGCAGGGCACATCTGCGTATGGTCATAAGCCACCTGCTCTGCAGCGCCCATGCCAAAGGCCAGCGCACTTGAGGAGGCATTGTAAGGGATGTAAACCT